CATCATATGTGCATTCTTTCTGTATACACTAGGCTGGACATCCCCATCATTCTTACATTCTACCATTATGTCTAAGGGTAGTCGGTCATTGTTTTCTTCTTTTGTGAGTTTTATTGTGGTGAATATGTTGTTTATATGTCGGTAGGTTTCTTCTAGTCTTGCGCATTTGATAATCATGAAGGTGTCATCTACATAGCAGACCCAGGGTTTGGGTTGTATTGTGGGGAGCACTGTCTGTTCTGATTTTTGCATTCGGTTCTGTTGTTTTGATTTCATTTCCAAAATGACACTACTCACCATAATGGACCAAACAGTATAAATTCCAAGCAGATGATGATGTCGCCTAGTGTGGTGACGAAACATCTGAACGAGAACAAGCCAGCTCAGTGAGCAAGTCAACAACCTCACTTTTCCATAACCTTAGGATTCTTGGAAGATTACTACCGGTGCATCCACTATCTGTGTAGTTACTTCCTTTAACATCCCCAGATGTAAGCCATCAAGTCCAGGAAACCTGTTGGTCTTTAGCCCCATTAGTTTCCCTAGCACTTCTTCCTCTACTGATGGTTATTGTACTTACTCCCTCTCCTTCCTTTGCCAAAATAGCGAAGTAACGTGTTCTACCTTGTATACTGATGCAAAGTATGTATTCAACTCTTATCATTTCCTGGATTCCCATTATTACCTTCCCAGTCTCATTCTCTAATGAGTTCTCTATGTTGACAGAATAAAGAAAATGAAATGGATTTCTATAGAAAAAAGACTACAGGAATGTAACTAGTTACCCAGCCCATTCAAAGTGCCAGCACAGGCATCATAAGCTGAATTGTTTCTCCTTCTATGCTGCATCAACCTATAATCCTGAGGCACATTTTTAAAGAACCACTAAAATAATATATCACAACAAGCCTATTTCAACTCATTTCACTTTTCAGTGCATTATCCTTTGTGTTGTGTCCAAAAACTAGGCCATTCAGAAATAGAAATGAAACAAAAATACAATCTCATTACCAATAAAGAGGTTATGGATCCTGTATGCCCTTGTAAAACAGCGACTGGAGCACATGTACGCAAGCACCAAACACGGATCACTTTATCACAGCTGCCTGCAGCAATTAGTGTGTTCTCATAGTTAACAGCCATATCAGAAATCTCAGCCGAGTGCCCTCGCAGAGTGGACAGGAGCCGTCCATCATCTGTGGCCCAAATCTTCACCAAGCAATCATCTGAACCCTAGAAACAGCATAGGAGATATAAATAATGGTATACATTTGAACACAATTTAAATTTGAAGTGAATTTGTTTGAAAGCAAGCTTCAAAATGGTCTTGTAATCTATGGCCAATGCTACAGGAATGTATTAACTTTCAGGCTTTTAAACATAGTACAGGAATTTAATGTTATCAGTCACTAAATATTAGCAATATATGCCTAAATATAAATTGAAATGGAATCATAAATATTAATTTGCCCCATGAACTGAAAATCAACTGGAGGATAATTACTGTCATCTCAAAAGGATGTTTGCATTTAGATTGGGAACACCTCAAATTCTATTTTTGCTCTTTGCACAGTAGCCAAAAGAGATTAATAGAAAATTGCTGTTTTTAGGTTTTATTCATTAACAAATGTATTACATATTAAATGGAAATCAGTACACAGATGTAATTCTGAACAGAAAGTCAACATGTCAGTCTTTGCACTCCACCAAGCCTCCTCACAGATTGCTTCATTCCACCATATCAATATATTCCTTTCTCCCTCACCTATCTAGATGTATTTAGAGGGAAGCCAGCAATGCAAAAAATCTCAACCATTTCACATGGTATAAAATTCACTTATGTTCTTGGTTTAAGTACAGAATTAGGCCAAACTACTTTAGAACAAGTAATAACCATGCATTTACAATACCTTGGACTATATTAAAGTTTTACATTTTAAGAAAATGTTATTTCCAACCATACAGAGAAAGTTCAACAGAAAATGCTTCTGCATGGCTTCATGAAAGATATTAGTTTCTCAAAAAAAAATCTAACCAGAACTAGAACAATTAATCACTAACTGGCCCAGAAATGAATCATAATTTGGAATTGCTTTCTACAGAATCTCATATCGATAACAGAATAAAATACTATGAATTACATACAATGCCACCTACGTTTAGAAAATACAGCATTGTCAAATCTATCATGAACAACATTATGGTGGATTGCACTTAGGAAAATTAAAATTTATTAAGTATAACCACCCAAATAAAACAAAGATTTATACAATTTTGGTTCCAAATATTTTTGAACCTGAACAAGTCATTGCAGGAACGTACCAATCCATTGAGTGATATGGTTGCTATAAAAATCCACACAATAACGTATACATTGCAATGAGTTATTGCTCACGCAGAATACTCAATGGTCTTCTCACCGTGAAAATTCTTCTCCCTGTACGGTCAAATGCTACACAGTACACAGAGGAAAGATGCCCAAGTATCCTTTTGTACATTTTCACATGCTGGTACACAACAACAGGGAAAACATGGCTGCGACGTCCACATCCTGTTAACTGTTTGGCATTGATGACGCTCACTGAAATGACAAATAATGAGATGTTGAATATCTATGAACTCTCATGCAATACTTTTCTCAACTTAATGAAGGGGTTGGCGGGGCGGGGCGGGGGAGAAGAGAGCGAGCAAGGGAGACATGATGTCCACCCTTCATTGTGTTATGAAAGTTCATTAGCTAATTCTTTTTCCATGAAATTAAATTAACATTCTCTCATGTATTATACCCTTTTGTTAATACAATGAGCTCTTTAAAGGTTTGAGATTTTTTAAAACCAGAAAACTGAAATAAATCTTTGGCAACATTATCTGAACGGTAACCTAATGTCAGTCAGCAACTTAAACAAGGTGAAAAATACCAAGATAGATTCATTTTCTTGGCTTTCATTCTCTACTTAGCACTTAATTGAGAATTACTTTGTGAATAGACATGTCAAAACAAAGGAGAACAGAAAATACATCTAATTCATGTTATTAAAATTTGAAATCTAGTTTGCATTTTTTTTTTTTTAAAACTTTTGATATGTTCATTATGGAATTTATAATGCAGTTTTATTTACAATTTTGTTGGCAGCATGAAGACACTTATCAGCAGCAGTTTTAAAAACTCAAGTGTGACCAGAGAGAAACTTAAATAATTACCTCTAACTAACCTAGAAAGGCAAGCAATTACGTGCTGGAACCTTAGATTCATTAGTTTATATCCAATCATTTAGCAACAGAACACCAAGTTTTGCATAATACCAGCAAAATCCAAGTAACACTGTCACTCTTACTCTATCAATAACTTTACATTTGTCTTCCCATAATTCTTCCCCATACAACTATCATTCTTTGTGTATTGAAAAGCTATGAGCATACCAAACTGAAAAGGTACTTTAAAATAGCTTTAATTGTTGCTTTTCTGGCCTACCAATATTTGGAGACTTCCCATAATTCACAGGTGGTTCTGGTGGTCTGCCTCGATGAAGGGCAGCAAAGGCAGAGCCTTTCCATGCTACATGTTTGCAATCTGTAAGAAAATATTACAACTGAAGGAGGTGAATTCACGTAAAACTGGTGTACTAAACGCATGGAAAACAACTGGACAATAGTTCTTAACCACCCTCCTTAAATGGAGCTTTAGACAAGGTACGTATGAATCCGGTTTTTCTTTGAAATACAAGACTGTACACAAATTTAATATCGTTCAGCTGTTAGTTCAGTGTTAACAACTTCCAGAATTTTAAGCAGAGGCTGCATTTAATGTTGCAAGACTCAAAGAATTCCACACGTACCACATTAATGCATGGGACCAATTTACATTAAGATAGAAGCCAATTTGCAGCTACTTTAGTAACACAAAGAAAAAAAAGTTAAGCAATTTTTATAAAATTTGTCAGATGGCACAAACTATTTCTCATTTCTACTAGCACAATCACAAAGTGTATGACTGATGTGTCAATAACAATTATGGTTGTTCATTTTGTGAATCTTTTCGATTAATTTACTCAGAGTCCGTAAGATCCGAAAGGTATAAAACATTAGCGAGTAGTACATTATTTTGCATAACTCAGACACAATTAGAGCCAAGACCCAAGATCAGAACACGAAATAAGTGAATGAAATTTCCATTTGATGTACCTTTTGTAGTTCGTAATAACGACTGTCGCCCCAGTCCCAGTAATGTCTGCACTCCAGGGACACTGGGTGGAATCTCTTTATCCAAAAGTGGGCCAATTCTCTGACACATTTGCAGTAAGTGATCTGGAGACACATGTTTATTGGCTAAAACCTAAACAAAAATCGCATTACATTAAAGGGATTTAGTCAAATGATTTCACATAGCAAATTATTTTGAATTTAGTTTTCTGTTTCAATAATGTAATCTACATTACTTGCATATCTGAAAAAAGCTTTTAAATACTCATCAGTAATAAAAGATGTAAAAACGCAAAACTTCAAGTATTCCAAATACTTGGAAGCTTTTCACACCTTCAGCTAATTCCCAAAAATACTTTATTCAGGCTATACAAAACAGGGAATGTGCAAGTTTTAGGATGGAACAATCAATAAATACAATTTCTTTGAACTCTTGAAATGTATTATTTTTTTCACCAATGTCTCATTAAAAATTAAAAATACTGTGGATGCTAGAAACCTAAAATAAAGATGGAAAAAGCTGGAGAAACTCAGGTAGGACAGCATCTGAGGACAAAAAAAAAGTTAACCTTTCAAGTCTGATGACTCTTCTGCAGAACAGTCCTTAAGACTCAATTCACACTTGAAACATTAGCTCTGTTTCTCTCTCCAGATGCTGGCAGACATGCTGAATTTCTCCAATACGTTCTCTTTCCCTAAAGCTCACCCCTCATGTCTCTCTCATCCTAACATCTCAATAAACCAAACTGCCCACTTGAAGTGTCAATTTATCAATGATTAGATCAGCAGCTAGGTTACATTAAATTTGCACCCTGCCTTATGGAGTAAATCCTCATTGGTCAGAACGATATCTTAGTATACATGTTAACAATGACTGAAACGAAAAATGAAAAATAGTTTTTAAAAAAGTGGTAGAAGAAAACATCTGATTTATATATCCACCCGCCCAGGTTCATTGCTTAATAATGAATTACAACGTTCACTTGACCCAGCAGCCAATTTTAGATTGCAACTTGCTAATGATTTTTTTCCAGAGACCAATGTAATCAAGAAATGTTTCCTTACTTGCTAAAAAAAATTATATATTTTGCAATAAACAATAACTTTCAGTGCAACTTCCTTTGGAATGGTTCTGTCGGTCAATACTCAGTTAAGAGCTGAGCCCCTTCACAGTAGCATCCATTTAGATTGAACTAAAACTGGTGGATCAAGGTAGAGAAATATAGATTCATGCATTGCATGGTCAGGATCAAACGAGGGATATCATTTTTCAACTGATAAAAAAATTACAATGTTGCAAATAAAGATCTGAACTTAATGGCATATTGAATCACCCCTTATTCCAAGGCTTCAGAACTTACAACTGTTACATTGATTCAATCTGAAGAAAATGGTAGACATTCACAGCTCAGCAGTAACCTTTCAGCATGAGTTCCATTATGTTCCAAGCCATTGGACAAATGTTTTCTTAGAGAAATGTATTTGAGCTCACTTAGTATAGGGTGTAGTGGACAACAGGAAATTAATGTCAATGTCAGATGAGAACTCATTTTGCAAATAAATCCACAGTCAGCTATTTAAAAACATAAGAGGAGCCTGTGGAAATCCAAGGGAAGTTCTATGTATGCCATACACTACAATTCCCCTCAACTACTGTTACTGTGGTAAACCCGGATATAAATTATGCATTAAACTGTTTTACATAACTGACTCAAAAGAAAATTGTTACAATAGGTTAGTTATTTTAATGCATAGGTGGAAACCTACAATCATACAGGTGAAACATGGTAGTTTCATCCTACAACGGAGTCATAATTCACCGTGCACAAAATGCTTTGAATTATCTACTGAAAACTGTATTAAAAAGGTTCAGGAGGAGCAGAAGAGAAGGTCCACAAGTAGATCAATTCAGGGAACTGAATCAGGCAGAAAGTCTTTAACAGAAAAGGTGCTGTTAATTTAGCAGTCACCAAAATGCTCAGGTAGAAGGAGAGATGCTCTCAGTTGATTAAAGAAAAATCCAGAAGCTGAATGCTATTGAACACAGTATTTAACATGTTCCTTAAATGCACGAGTTACTAGCACATTTAAAGGGTCTCAGGAAACTGAATCAACTAAAAACAAAAACGCATGGAGTGAATACACAGAAATTTACCAAAACGAATCAGATTACAGCCATGCCATCTGAACAACAAACTTTGAATGGTCAATCCTGCCTCTGTGATAAAGTTTCAAGTGTAGGTAAGATTGTTAAGGACAGACAAAAGTTGAAACTTTCTTCCTGATCATTGTAATAGGACTATTTCTACTAGGTTCCTATCATGTAACATTGTTTGCATTTTTCTTTTGGCATAATAAATATTTTTGTTAAAAAGGTAAATAGGCAGTTTCTGGAAAATTTTTTCAGTGATTGACCACCACAGTAAACAACTGGTAAAATAAAACTCATGGTCTATTATGCCATGTCCTACTCTGGTATATAACTTGTCCAGTGCTACCATCAGTTCCAAGCATAAAAGCAATCATACATAATTCTGTCTTCACTGTCAGATGAAGTTCCCTCTTATCAATCAGTCAAAAATCTAACGAGTTATAATGCTGGTCTTGCACTGATAAGCATCTCAAACTGCTTCACAGAAATACAAAAATACAAGAACACTTCAAAAAAAATCTGAAAATAAGTTTGAAGAAAAGACTGAAAGAATACCAATATCAGAACAAAGCTAATGCTAAAACACAGCAAAAACACTGGCAGCCCACACATTACATAGAAAAACTACTCCACCGCAAGATTTTCTGTCAGCCCCCTAAAGGGGCTAAAATTGAGCGTTCTTGCCTACACTCTGTTTTTAGCGAAACTTGTACTTTTTAGACAAATTCATGTGTTGAATAAAAAGGTACTCATTACCAATTAAACATGCTATTGAGTACAGTTTCTTTATATCAATTTAAACATTTAGGAATAGATCTCAGTTTCACATTGAGGCCAATAAATTATATTTAAAAAATGCAACCTTCAGATTAAGATCATAAACTTCTCATTCCCATATTTCAAAATTGGCAACCAGTGCCACTAAAGGGCACTGACATCTTTACAACTATTCTACAGCATTAATACATCAGTACTAAATTCAGAATCACGCAATAACAACCAGAAGAATTAACAAATCATATGCAACTTTATCAAATTCAAGCCCGTAAGCTATCCTACCACAATTCACGATCCAAGATTGCTCAAAAGCTCAAAAATGCACACAAAATAGGTGAATGCAAAATAGACTGCAAACTTGATCTATTTCGGATTCATAGGTTTACTTTTTCTTGGTCAATCAGCACAAGTTAAGAACATACTATAATAAATTCATAAAATTTGCTTTTTGGCAAGTGCCCAACGAATAACTTATCATATGCCCCTTTTCTCTTGGCATAACATTTTATGTCTCAAATTTACCTCACCTATATCAATTGCCCTTTAATCTTCCCGTGTGTTTGGTTTCAACCACTCAGCTCCTTCTTCGAAGAAATGAGAAGTATATCTCAAAAACTATTGTGTAATTAACTAGCTGCACCAAAAACACCAACCATATTATTACACGAGAAGAGTGTAAAAATGAAGTTCACAATCTGTACCAACCTTCACCAGATGTTTATACATAGTAAAGAAACAAAATTCACGCAACCACATTTCAAGTCTATGGTTTCTCATGACTGAACATTAGCAAGCTCATTAGAAGCAACTGTGAATGCAAACATCAAAGCAACGTGTAAAATCTTATACAAGCTTAAAAGCCAAAAGAAAAACAGTTACCTACAACATTCAACAAATTGCAACTTCCACATTGTATATTTTCATAATTTTCCTCAATGCATTATTTTTCTTCCATTTTGATTTTGCTAAAGTAATTCAGTATAAATTTACAAGAGATGCTTGACTACATTAAAAATTGTTTAGTGAATCATGAATGAGGTAAAGTTGTGACAAAAGAATTTAATTCATATTGCAATCAACATTCAATTACTTATGTGGTCATAGTATGTCAGAAATCTCAAACATTATATGCCACTGTGATTGGGCCAACTCAAGTCACTAAAAAACCAACTATGGCCCCTGCTATTCCTTATTTTATTTCCACTGCATTCAAGCTGCCTTTTGCATTCACCTCTCCAAACTGTGATTAGAACAATGCCAGCAAGTACATAGAAAATCAAGAGGGCTTTAACCAGTCAGAAATGGACGAACAGGATTGTTTCAGTCAGGACCAAACTAAACTTTTGATGGAAAGACACTCAACTTTCTCACAGTTAAACAAACACCAATTCCTCGTCAGTCAGTCATTTCTTGACCTGACAACTACCACACACTCAGCTGTCTTTAGATGCAAGGATGCTTGTAAAGAAATCTAACATATTTACTGTTTAAATGTAAACTGAAGGGTTTCCATTGCTTAAGCATGTCTGATTTAAAAACATGGAATTGTTGTTTGTAGGAAATTGACTATACTTTTAAAATTAAATTTGTGATAATTGGGAAAAAAATCTCATCAGCAAATCAAATGAATTCTAATAATTAATTTATCCATGTTGCCAATAATAAGAATGGAAGAGTGGATAAATAAGCCATGAAAACAAATAAATAGCTATGAACAAAATTATTAAATCACTGAAAAAACATTCCAGTGCAAAACGGAACCGAAAAGGGTCACACAAGAAAGTCAGTCAGTCATTATTGCAATTAAAATAATGTTATTATGAAAATCTGAAATGGAATAAGTCAGGAACAAAAAGCAATATAACTTCTATCCCCCTCCAAGTATCTTTCATACAGTTTCCAAGCTATATCCTGTCACTCATCTATTTGCAAGCCATACAGTACTACCACTTGTCTATTTCTGAAACAATGAGTGGTACAACAAAAAAGCACCCGTCACTTCATTTTGTTTTTAAAAGAGGAAAATCATTGTTAAGTGTTGCAACACAAATTTCAATGCAGCAAATGACAGTAGTCGGGCGGGGGCGGGGAAAGAGTGGTGAAGAAAAGAAGAAAGAAATAGAAAGATGGCAAACAATGGCCCAGTCATTGCTATAAGATATTCCAGCTGTCTATTATGTGCAGTCAGTATAAAGCAATGCTAATGAATTGGCAGACGTGCTCGACAGCAGCTTCCTGTATTAAGAGCCGGCCCGGCAGGCAGCCAATGGGAGACGTCGTCACATTGCAGTCAGCCCCGGCAACAGATGAGAGCCACTCCTCGATTGGATGAGCTCCCTGCGGACCTCCATTTCCCTACACCCCCCCCAACCAAAAAAATACCATCCACAATAAAAGAGCTTGTTCTTTTTTCCGATTAAAAATCGCTATTTATTTTAAACCGACGACTTTCTTATCAATTTCTGAAGGGAAGGGACTTTACCCCTCCCAAGGGCCGTCCATAACCATTCAAAACGTTTTAATTCAAATTCCCATTTAGAGGGTTGATGCTTGTCTCTTTCTTTTTTTGCGGGAGATTCAACTTGACCGAGAAAAATAGAGCAGAGAAAATCCACAAAGTTTGTGTGTGTGTATGTGGGGCGGGGGTCCTAAACTCTCACCAGGCTCTCAAAACTCCGGCGATGTTCCTTCCCTTCCCAATCCAGGCGCTTCGGCATCAGCTGAGAGAGAAAAAGAGACAATATAAATAAAAGGAAAGAGAAACGGGAGAGATTGCGTGTGTGAGAGACAGAAAAATGTAGAGGTGGGTTCGGCTTGAAGATTAAAATTAGCCGGAGAGGGCGGGGGGGGGGGGGGGGGGGGGGGGGGGGGGGAGCTGGTGGTGTGGGTGTTAAGTTATTTAAAAATTACCTGATATTCCTCTAGCTCCTGGATCAGCACCTGTAAGCAAAGAGACGGTGAGTGAGGGAGGTTTCTTTTCAAAACAAAAAAAAAGCCACTTTCCACACAACACACTGGGCTCGATCCACTCACCCGTGCCGACTTCTGACAGGGTCCAGACAGGAGGAAGCGGGCGATCAGGTAATACAACTCTGCACCCGGGGGTTACAGAGGTGGGTTAAGAGAAGAGGGGTGGGAAGGTGGAGAAAGAAAAGAATAGAGAAGAGTCAACTCCAATAATAATAATCCTCATGACAGTAATCATAATCATCATCATCATCGTCGTCGTCGTCGCCTTCCCGACGCTACACCCACCCTGCTCCAACTGAGAGACTCGGGTGGGATCGGTTCGCCTCCCCTCCATGTTTGCCGGGCTGTGTCAGCAGCGGCCGCGGTACTCAGGCGCTGCTCTGTGGCGGTCTCTCGGTGCCTCTCCCCGCGGCCTCCGTCGCCATTCAGCGCTCGGCGGCCGCATCACACACACTCTCCCTCCCCTCCCACACGCCACCCTCCGCCGCCGCCAACTAATCCCATCTCCCCACCCCCACTTTGACCCTTGTTTTGCCTCACACCACCGCGCCGGCAAGGGCCCGATCGCCGGCTGCCGGGTTTGGATGGAGAGATCGAAAGTGGGGGGAGTGTGGAAGGTTTCCCCCTTTGCTGTCGGGTACAAAGAGGTTGTTGGAAGGGTTTGGCGGAGGGATACATTTTCTACCGTCAGGCTGGGGATGAGTGGACGGAACGTGCTGACGGAAGCTGATCCGCGGCGGATGAGTGACAGGCGTTTCGACCAATAAAAAGCGGAGCTGCTGGCCTTTAAAGATGCTGTGAGGCCAATGAATCTGGGGTAAGTAGGTGGGACGTGTGGGCTGTGACGTCAACCGGCGGCGGTTAGTCACTGCGGGCTCCTCTCGCGGGCAGAAACCGACACAGTGGCGGAAGAGGCCATTCAGCCCATAACGTCCTTGCCATGCCATCAGATATCGATCCAACTGACCCACATCCTGGAGGAACGGCCACATCTCCCTACCGCCAGCCTCACCCACCCGCAGCACAATCAAACCAGCCTCCAAGCGCCCTTCCCCTGATGACCAATAGCTTCTGTGGGCTTGTTGCATTTTATTACAAGAAAAGTCATAGGATTAAGGGCGATCGTGCAACGACAAGTGGGATTACTGCACAATGGTGGCCATTGAGCCCACTGTCTGTGCCAGTTGGGAAACTCTCATACAGCCTAATCCAACCTTTCACCCAAGGCTGTAGGTTAAGACAGCTGAAGCGCCTATTAAAACGCTATAGATAATGTGATGAGGATTTCTGCGTTTACTACCCTGCTTGAGCATCGAGTTTCATCCTCTCAAACTTTTGACGACGTTTTCTTCAGTCCTTCTCCCAATTAACTTAAATCTTATGGCTCTCCCCAACTTTTCCTCTCTACTAATGGAAGTTGATCCTTCCAAACCACTTCATTATTTATGTGCAATTAAATCCACACTCCGTTTCAGTTCCAAAGAAAACAACTCCAATCTGTCCTCATACCTACAATTTTTCATTCTTGTTGATGTCCATATACATCTTTGTAACTTTTATATAACACAATCATCTAGCTGCGGCCTAGCTATTCTTTTATACAGTTCTACAGCAAATTCTAACATGTATTCTCTTCTTTGACTCAAAGAAGAAAATATTACGTAGGCTTTAATAACCACCTTTATTTCTCTATCCTGTTGTCTATTGGCCCAAACAACTGAATCAGTACAATAAGTATACACTCACGTAAAAGTCAATAGATGTGAAGCTGGAAATGCACAGCAGGTCAGACAGCATCCGAGGAGCAGGAAAGTCAATGTTTCAGGCTGAAAACCTTCGTCAGGACTGGGGAGGGGAGCCCAGAAGTAGTTGTGGGGCTGGAAGAAGGGGAGGTGCGACGGTGATAGGTAGATACAGGTAGGGGGTTATTATAATTGGTCAGTTGGAAGGGTGGAGCAGATAGGTGAGTGGGAAGATGGATAGGTTAGGTTAGGTCAGGTCGGGAAGGTGAGGAAGAGGGGTGGGCTGGACGTGGGATAAGGCTGATGGTGGAGGGATTTTGAAGCTGGTGGAGTCAACATTGAGGCCATTCGGCTGTCAGCTCCCAAGGCAAAATATCAGGTTTCGTTCTTCCACTTTACTTTTAGCCTCATTCTGACAGTGGACATGTCTCCAGGGGAATGGAGGGGGAATTAAAATGGATGGCAGCTGGAAGGTCGGGTTGGTTGATGCGTGCAGAGTGCAGATGCTCCACGAACCAGTCCCCGTTTGGTATCTCCGATATAGAGGAGACCACAACAGGAGCAACAGATAAAATAGATCTGGTTGGATGAAGTGCAGGTGAATCTCTGCTGGATCTGGAAGGATTTTTTGGCGCCTTTGACACAGATGAGAGGGGAGGTGTACGGGCAGGTGTTGCACCTCTTGTAGTAGCTGGGAAAGGTCCCAGGTGTGGTGGAGAAGTTGGTGGGGAGTGTAGAGCTGACGAGAGAGTCATGGAGTGAATGGTCCCTGTGGATAGCGGACAGGGTGGAGAAGGAAATTTTTTTTGTGGTGGGATCTGATTGTAGGTGACGGAAATGTCAGAGGATGATGTGTTGGATTCAAGGTTCGTGGAGTGGTACGTGAGGACTGAGGGGACTCTATCCTTATTGTTTTTGTGGGGAGGGGGTTTGAGTGCAGAAGTGCAGGAAATGGAGGAGATGCAGTTGAGGGCATCCTTAATTACAGAGGAGTGTAAACTATGGTCCCTAAAGTAGGAGGATATCTGGGATGTCCTGGAGTGGAACACCTCATCCTGGGAGCAGATGCAGCAGAGTTAGAGGAATTGAGATTATAGGATAGCGTTTTTGCAGGAGGGTGGGTGAGAGGAAGAGTAGTCAAGGTAGTTGTGGGAGTCAGTGGATTTGAAATGGATGTCAGTGGTGAGATGTTTTCCAGAGATGGAGACCGAGAGGTCCAGGAAGGGGAGGGAGGTATCAGGAATGGTCCAGGTGAATTTGAGGGTGACTTCGAAGGTGATGAACTGCTTGAGCTCCTTGCGGGAGCACGAGGCAGCACCAATGCAGTCATCAATATCGCAGAGAAAGAGGTGAGGGATGGTGCCAGTATAGCTGTGGAAGAGGAACTATTCCACGATTTTTGAATGAGATTGTCAATGGAGAGGGACTGGTTGGGCCTACAGGAGAGGAAGAAGCAGAGGGCTTTTAGGCCGTCCGTGTGGGGATACAGGTGTAAAGGGACTGTATGTCGATCGTGAAGATGAGGTGTTGGGGGCCGAGGAATTGAAAGTTTTCTGGAAGATGGGGGGGTGTGGGTTGTATCACGAATGTAGGTACAGAGTGCATGGACCAAGGGGGAAAGAACAGAGTAGAGGGAGGAGAAGATGAGCTCAGTGGGGCAGGAGCAGACAGAGACAATGGGTCAACCGGGGCAGTCGGGTTTATGGATTTTGGGTAGGAGATAGTTCCCCAACCCCACACTGCCCATTTCTGTCATGTTGGAGGCTGTGGACGGGAGATCTCCTGAAGCGATGGGGTTGTTGATGATCTGGGAGACGCTGGCTTGGTGATCAGAGGTGGGGTTGTGATTTTTGAATGAGCGTGTCAGTGGAGGGAGGACTGATTGGTTTTGAATGAGAGCGTCAGTGGATTGGGAACTGATTGGTAAATATCTTGTCATAAAGTATTCATCCTCTCCCATCATCTCACTGTTGCAGTTTCTATTGTTGAAGACTATTCCCAATAACCCTGCTCCCAAAAATAGTGCAAAAAGTACTTTTTAATTATCAAGTTCATTTATAAATGAATGGCAATCTCCAAGGATGGAGACATTAATTTCTGTATACTATAGTCATTGAATATTTTATCATATTCAAAACTAACGCCATAAATATAAACTTATACAGTTTCATTCAGTTATTTCACAGTAAAGAATACCACTCGGTGATACATTGAACATGAATTAGGAACCACAGCAATGTGGTTGACTGTCAACTGCCCTCTGAAATGGCCTAGTAAACCATTCAGTTGTACCAATCACTACAAAGTCTCAAAGAAATGAAACTGGACAGATCACCTGGCAACGACCGAGGCACCAGAAAAGACAACAGCAGAAACAGCCCTGTCGACCCTGCAAGGTCCTCCTCACTAACATCTAAGGGCTAGTGCCTCATAGACTCGTCAAGCAACAGCCTAACCTAGTCATACTCACGAATCATACCTTACAGACAATGTCCCAGACACCAACATCACCATCCCTGGATATGTCCTGTCCCACCGGCAGGACAGACCCAGCAGAGATGGCGGCACGGTGGTATACAGTCAGGAGGGTGTTGGTCTAGGAGCTCTCAACATTGACTCCGGACCTAATGAAGTCTCATGCTTCAGGTTAAACATGGGCAAGGAAACCTCCTGCTGATTACCACGTACCGACCTCCCACAGCTGATGAATCAGTACTCCTCCATGTTGAACAACACTTAGAGGAAGCACTGAGGATGGCAAGGGCACAAAATGTACTCTGGGTGGTGGATTTCAATGTCCACCACCAAGATTGGCTTGGCAGCAGTACTATTGTTTGAGCTTTTCGGGTCCTAAGGACATAGATCCTAGCATGAGTCTGTGGCAGGTGGTAAGGGAACCATCAAGAGGGCAAAACATACTTAACCTCATCCTCACCAATCTGCCAACTGCAGATGCATCTGTCCATGACAATATCGGTAAGAGCGACCACTGCACAGTCCTTGTGGAGACAAAGTCCCGCCTTCACATTGAAAGTAACCTCCATCATGTTGTGTGGCACTATCACCATGCTACATGGGACAGACTTCGAACAGACCTAGCAGCTCAAGACTGGGCATCCTATCTCATGGTGCTGTGGGCCATCAACAGCAGCAGAATTGTACTCCAACACAATCTGTAACCTCATGGCCCGGCATATCCCTCACTCTACCATTACCATCAAGCCAGGGGATCAACCCTGGTTCAATGGGGAGTACAGGAGGGCATGCTAGGAGCAGCACCAGGCATACCTGAAGATGAGGTATCAACCTGGTGAAGCCACCAAACAGGACTACCAAACACCAAACACGCCAAACAGCGAAAGCAGCAAGTGATAGACAGAGCTCCCACAACAATGGATCATATCTAAGCTCTGCAGTCCTGCCACAACCAGTTGCGAATGGTGGTGGACGATTAAACAACTCACTGGAGGAGGAGACTCCACAAATATCCCTATCCTTAATGATGAAAGACCCCAGCACGTCAGTGCAAAAGATAAGGCTGAAGCATTCGCCAGCAATCTTTCGCCAGAAGGGCCAAGTGGATGATCCATCTCGGCCTCCTCCAGTGGTCCCCAGCATTACAGATACCAGTCTTCAGCCAATTCGATTCACTCCATGTGATATCAAGAAAAGGTTGGAGACACTGGATACTGCAAAGGCTATGGTC